TAAACCCTAAAAACATAGATCTATGCTGCAAACTCTAAATACTGAATTTTATGAAGTTATATTTACATTATTTCTCTTTAATACGTTGATCGTATGGTATTAACACTTGAATTTGATGCATTGTTGTAGATCTTCAGAAATGATGGGGAACTAAATGAATTTGGGGTTATTTAATTGTGTTTGTCATATGAGAAATTTTGTTATATTAAGATTCACCAATCTTTAGTGAGACATAATAAGAAGTAGCTGTTGGGTGGATATGGAAGAAATTGGTTATTGGGAATAAGTGATTGTGAGTATTGTATACAAAAGTATCTGTAAAAGAAGATTTTAATGTATTAAGATATGAATCAGTTATTAGATAGATAAGATACTGATAAGTGATATTATCTGAATATGTTGTTGTGGTGATTGATGTCAATCGTCAAGTAGTTTATTTGTTCCTAATTCCTGCCTTCTAACTCCAAACTCTCTAAATGACAGCTGACTATTGCCTAGAACACGAGTTTTTATACCCTTTATGGTTAGCCTCCCATACTTCCCAATGAAGGAATTCAAATTAATATAGTCTGTTTCTTAAAAATGGTGGAAATATAATAAAAAATTAGCCATGTGTTGAAATAAAAACCATTAAATTACTTTGTATTGAAATGTCCAACTATTCTGCATTTTATTTTTAATGTGGCTATTCTTTTGACTGGCTCCTACATATCAACTTTGTAAAGGATGGGAAGGTTGCACAGCTTGAGCATGTTTTCATCAGAGGAAGCAAAGTCAGGTAACTTTGTAAATATGTTTGATTTCAGCACTACTGTTAGGGTTGTATGTTTCCAAGAATTTTATTCTTATTGGGAAATGTCAATGACTGATGCCTTTCAAATACTTGTAAATGGTAACCAACAGGTTCATGGTCATTCCCGATATGCTTAAGAATGCTCCAATGTTCAAACGTCTGGATGCTAGAATCAAGGTATGTTTAATTTCTTTTCCTTTCTTACATAAATTGTCTGATTTCTTTCCCTTTCTTGCATTGGATACTGAAATTTTCCTCTGATATAAATCTCATTTTCTTTATCTCATGAAGGGTAAGGGTTCATCTCTAGGTGTTGGTCGTGGTCGTGCTGTGGCAATGCGTGCTAGGGTAAGTTTTTTTTTTTTGTGTTTTTGTATCGCTTTTTGTTTTTGATGATAGAAGTTTTTCCGAAAATGAACAGGGAACCTGAAATTCATGTTTTAAGTGGCTGATGTTATATCACACTAAAGTACTACAACCATTTCTTATGTTCTGTTATCATTTTGGATAAAAATCTGGACAACTAGTTTTCTATCTTGCTCACTCTGGTTGTTTTCTCTCTGAAATACTAGTAAACATATATCGTTTCAAAAAGTATTAGAGAATTGGTTTCTTAATAAATTGCTGGGAGTATTGTTTATTGTTCTTTTACTTGTTATTTTTGCAGGCTCAGGCTGCTGGCCGTGGGGCTCCTCCTGGCAGGGGTGCACCACCACTTGTTCGTAGATAATCAGTTCATCAAAAGTGCTGTTTGTTACCTTGTACTTTGGTTCTATTTTGTTATAGTGAGTACAAAAATTTTCTTTTCACTGAGGACCCTCTTTCCCTTGTTTACAAAGAGGTTTATGTAAGTACTTAGTTTCTTATCTAACAGATGAATTCTAACTGGATGCTTGTGGGCTTGTGCAAATCTATACCATAATTTGACCCTATTCATTATTTCTAATTCCAAATCCAGTCTTGGGCTTTGGTTGTCTTCTGTAAATTCTATCTCTCTTCTTTGTGAGGTTCTTTTAGTGTGATACCTTTTTGATTAAAATTTAAAATTGTTTGCACTCGAATATTCTCACACACACCTTTTGATACCTGATACTCAAAAGTCAGACACTCAGATCATCTAAAAAGAAAATAGAAGCAGTCAAATGCCCGTTACTATCATGAGCCTCACACGTTTAACAGTTATTTACTAAAAATTTATTTTTTTTAATGGAAGATTTCATTTGTTGAAAAA